CAACAAACTAGTAGTGAAACGGAGCCCATTGCAAGCACAAGTGCTCTATGTTTTAGTAAGGGTATAGCACAATCAATGCATGCGTCAGGTGACATGGTCATGTTGGCCACAGCCGTGGTATACATTAATGATGCAGCTGGCTATCCTCAACCCTGTAGAGCACTACTGGACTCAGGATCACAAGTGAATTTTATAACTGACGCCTGTGCCCAATTTCTTGGAATGTCTAAAACAAAATGTGTTCTACCAATAGTTGGTATCAACTCAATGAGGTCAGATGCACAGAGATTGCAACCAGTTGTAATGTATTCCAGGTTTGAAAATTTCAACGTTTCACTAGACCTTCATGTACTTCCTTCAATCGCCAATGATATGCCATCTCAATTAATACGTTTAGATCAGTCAAAGATTCCGGACATTGTTAATGAACAATTGGCAGATCCAAGCTATGATACACCAGGCAAGATAGATATACTACTTGGCGCAGAAATGTTTTACACACTTTTCAGTGGAGAAAAAGTTGCCATTACAAATAGTTTAGTGTTTCACAAAACCACACTTGGATGGGTTCTTACTGGAAGGGTATTAAATAGTGAAGTTATACAGTCTAGGTTTTCTGCTTGTTCTTGTGCTAATGATGCAACCATAAACTCAGCGCTTTCACTATTTATCAGTAAATCAAGTGTTCGTAAAGATGAAGAAGATGAAGCTGAACAGCATTTTAAGAAGACACATTACAGAGATGAGTCAGGACGATTAGTTGTTAGCCTCCCATTAAATACTAAGCTCAGTTCGCTTGGTGAATCTAAACACATGGCGCAACAACGATTCTTTAACTTGGAAAAACGGTTATCTAAAGACAGAGAACTATGCATAGCTTACCACAAGTTTATGTCAGAGTACTTAGACATGAACCACATGGAACTGGTAACTAATGATGATTCAAATAGTCAAACATTTTATTTGCCTCACCATGCTGTCATCAAAGAAGACAGCATCACCACAAAATTAAGAGTTGTGTTCGATGGATCAGCTCCATCAAGTTCCGGGCTATCCCTTAATGATGTCATGTTAAAGGGACCTATAGTGCAATCTTCCTTGTTCTCAATACTGTTACGATTCAGAGTACATAAGATAGCATTAACCGCAGATGTTGAGAAGATGTACCGTCAAATACTAGTAACTCCAAAAGACTGTCAACTACAACGAATTTGGTATCGTCCAAGTCCCTCTGAACTGTTAAGGGAATATAACCTTCGGACAATCACGTACGGTACAAAATCAGCTCCCTATTTAGCGACCCGTAGCCTGGTGGAAGTAGCTTTTTCAGCTCCAAATGAAGCTGCTCAAAGAGCTATAAAAGATGATTTCTATGTAGACGACCTACTTACTGGTGCTGAATCTTCAGACGAATGTTTCCAGCTATACAAAGATGTTTCAGACACGTTGGCGTCTCGTTGTCTACCGTTAAGAAAATGGTGTACAAGTTCTTCCGAAGTCCTGAGTAAATTACCAAATTCTGGGACCGATCCTAATCATGTTTTACAATTTAGTGAACAGGATGCTGTCAGTACGTTAGGTATAATGTGGCAACCCATAACAGATTGTTTTTGCTTTACATTAAAGCCATGGAATCCACCCAAAAAAATGACTAAGCGCACATTGCTTTCTGACATTAATAGGATTTACGATCCACTTGGTTTCCTAACACCAGTTCTTATAACTGGAAAGATCTTTGTTCAACAGTTATGGGTGTTGAAGATTGATTGGGACACGACATTACCCGACGATATGCAACATCGGTGGAAAAACTTCTATTTATCTTTGTATGCGTTGGATAAATTAGCCATTCCACGTCGGCCATTGTCAAGTAATTGGTTAAACATACAGCTTCATGGATTTTGTGACGCCTCACAGGAGGCGTACGGAGCATGTGTTTACGCAAGAACACAGAATTCAAATGGAGATGTTGAAACAGCTCTATACGTTTCAAAATCAAGGGTAGCACCACTTCATGCGACCACTATACCCCGGTTAGAACTCTGTGGTGCTGTACTACTCAGTGATTTAACTACAGAAGTCATTTCTGAATTAAAAAAATTGAATATAAACCTACATCAACGCGACGTTGTACTGTGGTCAGATTCAACGGTTGTCATCGCCTGGATAAATAGTACACAGCCACATTGTAATCCAGCTGATCTTATAACACGTGGACAAACAGTTAACAATTTACAACAGTATTCAATGTGGTGGAGTGGTCCACACTGGCTCTCAAAGCACCACACTTCATGGCCTACACGTACTCAGCCAATCTTAAATGAGGTACCTGAAGTACGACCTGTTAAATTGGTGCTTCAGGCATCTGCCCAGCCAGTAGATGATTATCCGCTCAGCAAGTTTTCTAAATGGAACCATATGGTACGCGTTACAGCGTACATGTTGCGTTTCATATCCAACAGTCTAGGATGAAGAGGAAGAAGAACATAAACTACAACTACAATCATAGTATCATCTCAAGTCATTTATTATTATCATTTGTATTCATTGTTTAAGACAGTTTGTCTAGCCGCCTAAGGCTCAAGTCATTTATTATTATCATTTGTATTCATTGTTTAAGACAGTTTGTCTAGCCGCCTACGGCTCAAGTCATTTATTGTTACCATTTGTATTTATTGTCAAAGACAGTGTGTCTAGCCGCCTAAGGCTCAAATCATTTAGTATTATCATTATGTAATTGTTATTTATGTTTATAGTCAAAGACAGTGTGTCTAGCCATCTAAGGTTCAAATCAAATAGTATTATCATCATGTTAGTCGCTTGCTCTGTATTCCACTCATAGATCAAGTATGTTTATTGTCGTTAAGGTTATTGATGTGCTACTGTGATCTTATCTGTTTATGCATATGTAATGTTCAAATATCATGTTTTAGGGAAATCAGCATCATCATTAATCATGTCTAATGAGCCTTGAAAGGACCACATCCTTTCAAAGGGGGGAATATGTTTGCGCTGCAAACAAATTTATGTTGTGTGTTTCTGTTATCATTTTCATGTGCACGTATCAGTGCGTTCCACAGTTGCAGCCTTCGTCGGCTGATGCTTATCAGGCATTCGTGTGCGACCGGCCAACTGTGGAACAATTATCAATGTTTTCATTATATTTGGTTATGTTAAAAACTTTAAGTTGTGTTTCGAGTAGTCATGCTTTCAGTGTCATAAAGTTCACAATGTTTTTGTTATCGGTTATTGTTTTCGTGTGGTGACACTGAAAGTCCGTTCGTTTTTGTGTTGCTCTATTGTGCCTCCAGGACATCGTGCGGGGCCTTTCACTTCACTTTTCGTGCTCCGAGCCGAGCGGTTCATTTTGTTTTTCATGGTTGTCTCGTCATGTTTATGATGAGCTGTTTGCAGTCGTCCAAAACCACGTTGTTGTGAATTTGTGTTTAAGTTTCTGGTAATTATCGTTCTCAGCAATTTGTATTGCCATCACTAATTTGTTTCTGTACAGGATGGTCAAAATTACCAAAGATTTGTGTTGTGAATCAACGTGTTTTGGTGTACCTCATTGCTCGTGGGAACAGTAGTGCGAACACTAGAAATCCTGTTCCGGCTGCATTCAATGTATTATTGTTAATGAAGTCATCGTCAACAGTTGCTGGCACACATCCGAACGTACGCAGGGTCAATTTGTCTTTATTGTAATTTAGTGATATACTTACAGGCCCTGGTGCGGTAACGTGGGTGTAAAACCAGGTGTGTGTCTCAACTGTTATGTGAGTATTGGTCGACCAGATAATGTGTGTGTATGACCGACGGGTCTTAAAGTAGTAAACATCTCATTATTATGTACTGTTAGTCATTAATGCATATTATTTATTAATTGTATTCCATTGTATATTACAGCCGTTCAGGCCTGATTCAATCATATGTTATTATTTTTATTATTATCATTATTATAGCCAAAGAGGCAAATGAAATTATACTTTATACTGTTACTATTATTATTATTATTATCATTACTGTGCCAAACGGCAATTAAAAATTTATTATAAAATACAGTCCACACTTTTATTTACAACGACAAGGCTGTTCAATATCATTTTGTTCACCTTAAGCGTTATCACCTATTAACTACTTTAAATTTGTTAATTTAGGTATACTTGTACACTAATACAGGGGGCCAGCCAATTCTTGATGATTTCAAGAATTGGCACCCAAGAGTCATAAAGTATGTTAATGGTAATTAGTAATTACTAAGCATCGGTGACAGAAGCCTAAACCATATGAGTTAAATGAAAACAAATGATGAATAGTGACACTTGAATTAAATGTAGATCTTTAAATCCTTACATTGTTTATGTGTAGTTTCAACTGTTATTCTTAAGCATTGACTTATTATTAACTTTTATTGTTTAAGGTACTTGGTTAGCTTGAAATCATACTCAGGTCTTATATTAAAAACATAACACTATGTTCAATAAGAGCCACACATAAAATAGTCTTTAATATTATAACATTTATGTAATTTAAGTGATAAACAATACCTACAACCTACATACCATTAATAACTCATGGTTAATAATTAATGAAAAAGGTTCATTAGAGTATATAAAACTTTTTATTTTTATTACAATATTATTGTGTAGTACAAGCAATATCTTAGCAATCTCATGCCTATATGGATTATTAAATTTTTTACCTATAGTACTTTATTTATTTAAGACCTATTTATTAAATTCAACTCTTATCTAATTCTTACTCCTAACACAAAGCAAAAACTATTTAATGTAACTGTATGTATGTAAAAAGTATAAAATAAAACATTTTTAAGCTTTACAAAAACTGTTTTGCTCAATACCAGAAATATGTCTTAAGTAGGATAATTTATGATGTTGATAGCATGTTTATTGATTTACCCATTTAAGTAAAATTAAATATTAAACATTTTTATTGATACATGGAAGGTTGAACAATTAAAAAAAAAATTTAAGTATATTTTATTTTTTATTTTTCATTCCCTCTTTCTGTTTTTTTTGTTTCTTAGTATCTTCTTCGTCAATGGGAGCCGATTTCACAAATGGTATTTCATCTTGATATCTGGTTGGCAAGTATTTCTTCAATATTTCTGGCACTTTGATTCCTGTTTCGGTTTGATAAGTCTCCAAAATAGCACAAATCACTCTGGTTGTAGCACAGGCAGTAGCATTTAACATATGCACATAATCAACTTTTTCATTCATTTTTTTTGTTTGACCATATCGTACTAGTAATCTTCTTGATTGATAATCCAAACAATTACTGCAAGACACCAATTCACGGAATGCCGCAGATCCAGGGAACCATGCTTCCAAGTCGAGTTTCTTGGCTGCAGCATGATTCAATGCACCAGATACAATGTTAACAACTCTGTACGCAATGCCTAAGTCATCATAAAACTGTCTTGAATTATTAATCATTTCATCAAATAAAATCCAAGATTGATTATCGAAAGGGGACGTTAAAACAAACTGTTCAACTTTTTCAAATTGATGTACTCTGAATATTCCTCTTGTGTCCCTTCCATGAGATCCAACTTCTTGTCGGAAACATGTTGATACTCCAAGATAGCGAATAGGAAAACTAGCTTCAGGTAACCATTGGTCGCGATGAAGTGCTGCTATTGGTTGTTCAGAGGTTGCGATCAAATATTTTTCATCTAAATTATGGTCACCAACTTTTTCACTACCCTTGCCAATTACCTTATATAGTTCTTCGTCAAACTGAGCAAGTTGAGCGACTTCTTGCATAATTTCTTTTCGCATAAAAAACGGCGTATACAATGGTTTGTATCCTTTGTCATCCCATCGACGCAACGCTTCTTGGACAAGTGCAGATTGTAAAAACACAGCTGGACCTTTGAGATAATATCCTCGGGTGCCCGATACCGTGGTACCTGCATCAGCATCTACACCGTCGATCATGTGAATCAGATCTATATGAGAGTACTTCTTCTTGACCGTACAATCACCAACCGTGGCGACCACAGCGTTTTCTTCTTCATCATTGCTTAACGGGACCGATTCATGCAAGAAATTACTGATTTCTTTGAACGAATCGTTTCTCGTTTTCTCTACGTCAAGCAGGTCTTTGTCGTTTTGGGTCAAAGCATTGTCGATGAGTACGCGCACTTTTTTGATTTGTTCCACTGACAATGGTTTCAAAACGTCCACTGTGATCGTGTCCAAAACGAAATCGGCCGCGACGTCGCCACCATCTTTGGGCTGCGGTTCCTTAGATTTGATCTTCTCGCCGATCGTTTTGCTGCAAAGGTTTTTCAACTTGTTTAGATTGTCCGCCTTGAAACGCAGCTGCCGCCACTTGCCGTCGGCTTCGACAACTTTGTCCACCAAACTCGGGTCTTTGAAACGTTTCCTTTGGTTTTCACGAATCTGGTCCGGGTTGCCACCTTTTTCTGTCCGGAACAAGTCCAAGTCGAGCACCATTTTTTCAAGCGGTTGAAGCACAAGCTGTAAATGGACCACGAAAACCGGACGACGTGTCTTCGGACTTTCGAAAAAAAAAATAAACAGTTAGTAAGCTGCTAGTGCAATGACGATAACAACATAACCATCAAATTGTGGACGTGTTATCTTGTTATCACGATTTAAGATAGTACTATCTTTAATCGTGCTACGGTGTCGCCGATTGATAGGTTGATAGTGAGGTGATACTTGCGCCATCTATTCCGCCGCACTGGCAACTGCAAGTGTCTATAATCGACCGTAGGAGGCTGCAGCGGTTTATAATAATTTACATAAATATTACCAATAATTCGTTTTTCAATTACAAATATTACGGTCTGTGTAACACGGCAGTTGGTCTTTGGTGTGTCGACGTGTCGTCATGTCATGGATGTTTGCCGCAAATCTCACAAAACAAAAAAAAGTATCTTCTACAAGTCAACAAAAATAAATTGAAATCAAAACAATTTTATATACCTAATAGCTATCCAAAAAATTGTATTTCAAACAGGTAGGTAGATACAAATGTATATTGAAATATATATTTTCAATATTATACACAAGTATTACAAATAGGCAATATGTACTGCATACTGAGTATAGTAATTAGTAACAAACCACAAACTTGTTTAAAAATCAAGCAAATACTTCATTACACTGTAACACTAGCACCACTGCACCAGGGGTATGAAACTCCGTGAAATGGTTCATAGTATTTTTTCATATTGGTTCAAATGGTTCTATGCTAGTTGGTAGGTACACACTACGTCACTACAACAGTTAATATAGGTACCTAATCCTAATACTTACTGGCAATTTGCTATTACAATGGCTATATCTGACTATACTTCCATATATTATATTATAGCAATTATAAGTTACAACATAATATGTTAATATTATAATATTATTATATTTTGTAATTTTGTATTTATTATAAATTATAATATTTATAATAATAATCCGTCCTCACTCCTCATAGGATACTGGATAGATAATATTATAAAAATAATAATCTACTATAAGATAATAAAAAAACTCTTAAATATACGTAGGTATGTAATTTGTATTCATAGACAAAAGCGAATATCTTCATCCTAGGTGCATTCTGTTTTTAGAAAAAAATTTGGCAATTTTTTTCCATTTTTATTTACAGATATTAGATATTTGGATTTGGATAGAATTTATATTTTACAATGGGTAAAAATAATTGATTCATTCTGATGATGATAAGAAACTACATGAAATAGAAAAAAATAAGGAATTTATGAGAAACGGCCGTTCAAGTTTTTCAAGAGAAAAAGGCAAATGCTAGTATGGCAGTATAAAAGTTAAACACTGCGAGGGCAAGTGAGCGGAGTTTGCACATTATACACAGAATAAAATTATATTATATTACCTATGAAAACTTTAAATTAATAACTAATAAGGATGTAAATGCAAAACTACACTAGAGTTTCCTAAATGATTATGGTTATTGGTTTGATATTGGTAAATTATTTTACATTCCAGTCAAACTTCTGAAATTACGACTTAGTTAAGGGATTCGTTTTTGTCTAACACACTCGTGACATAGGCTTTTAGATATTTTCTTTGGCAAGCATACTAATTGATCTAATGCAGAATAAGAATTCTAAAAACCGATTTAAATTTGTCTTCAAGTCTCCTTGAAATCGACTTTCCCACATTTTTGATTTTAAGTTCTCCAAAAATTGGAATACTACAATTTTGAATTACTCTATTTTAATATAAAGTTTTTAGGAGTGTGGAGGATAATATCAAAAATGTGTCAAAATTCTATTTAAATTTTAAAGTATACTTGACGACAAATTCAAATCTGTCTTCAGAATTTTTATCGCTTCATTAGATCAATTGGTATGTTTAGCAAAAAAACACGTCTAAAACTCTAAAATACCAAGTCGCACGTATATTAGACAAAAAATCACCGGGTGGAATCTCCTTAAATGATAAGAAGTATAGGTACAAATGTACAATCCACTAAAAAGTTGAACATACTTCCAGATAATATCCAATGTAACTGTACTATTGTAATAAATAATAGTTACCTAATTAAATCAACACGCATTTTATTTATTGAAATAATAATAATAATTATATAATAATGATAATAAATACAAATTCTTACAAAAAATAAAACTTAATATTAACCAATTTTCTAAAACTAAAATAAACGATAAGCTACAGTTTTTGACTATTACCGTAGGTATATACTTATCAGCTAGGCACTACATATATAGCTATTGACATGTGAAGCATTTTGGTGATATAATAATTTAATATTTTTAATGTAATAAATTAATAACAATGAAAAAATATAAAATATTTAATAATAATATTGCATCTTAAACATAATTAAAAGTAAGACGCTTGTCTCGTGAACCAGTCTTGTTGGTGCATAAGTGCGTTATAAATATAATTTAAAAAAATAAATAATTCTACAGTTTTTAAATACCTAGGTACTTAGAACACTCCGGCTAATGCTTGTTTGGCTAAATTCTGCTTGTAAAACGTACAATCGTTGTTATTAGTTTCCTGTTCATATTCTGGACTTTGTAAAATAATAATTCCTTCGTCTACTGCGTCGCTGCTGACCTGTTCGTCCAAAATCGGTAGACTCTTCTCTGTGGTGTCAACGTCGTCAGTATTCAGTTGCAGATCGCTGGTATTCGCTGATTCTAACTCGTTTTCTTCCAGGTCGATTTTCACGTCGATATCCTGTGAAATGTGAATTAGAATAATATTAGTACATTCGGAATTCGTATTAATTTTCGATTAGGATAAAGAAGAAGTTACTAAAAGATTGATATTTTCAATTTTTTAGGAATAAATCATTGATCAAACGGCCTTCATGACAGTAATTTGCTAAATTGAAATTATACATAATTATATTTGTTAAATTTATTGTTTGTGGTTTAATTGTTTCAGTCTATTCTATTTCGTAATAATTATCTATTTCCGCATAATTTACTATTTACACTGTGCTTCCGTTTTGGACTGTTTTTATGTAAAGGGACACAAGTCAAATTTTGATATTTTTCAAACACTACAATAATTTTGTGTGAAATTTTATGTCCGATCAAATGGTACCATCCCTGTCGTTGACTCATGATGATATTTTGTTATTATAATACATATACTATATACATATATTTTTGACTAGCGAAAAGGCACAAGTAAAAAATATTATAATATGCAAAAGCCAATAGTCGTATATTAATTTTATTTTTATAATATAAAATTAACATATTTACGTTATTTTTATTTTATACCTACCTACTACAATAGCTTACAAGTTCTATACCTAATTGCTTATAGGTATCAAAAAGCTTAGGTATACATTCATAAATAAAACATAAATAAAAAACAAATAAAATTAACTGAAAAATAAAATTTTTAAGATTATTTGAGTGTACTGAAAACCAACGAAAATTTACTAATGGCCCTTTACATTAAAAACCGTTCATTAATATGGGCATTTTAATTTTAGACGAGCGGGGTGAAATAGCCAAAGTTTTAGTCCTCGATCAGATTTGGTCTTTCAGTGCTTATTAGAAGAAAAAATTTACTTTAATTCAATTATACCGATAATTGGGTTTTTTATATAAATGTTTAGAATAGTATCAGATTATGAAATAAAAAACATAAACTGCAGGTTAAACGATTATTTAAAAAAAAAACACCTATACATAATGATAAAACAAAAATTTTTAAAAATTCAAAATTTATACTTGTTGAGATTCATCCGTTAGCTGCATACACTTGGAACTGTCCATCGTCGTTTCGGCGTCGATGATGGTGTCGAGTTCCCACCACGGCGAATTGGAAGTCGCTTCGCCTTCGGACGGCGTGTGGTACGACGAAGATGACCTGGAGGGCGGCGTACCGGTACAGTCAGAAGCCGTCACAAAGTCTTCGGCATCCGAACGGCTACTGCCGCAGAGGATGTTCTCTTCCATTTTCGTCACAGTGACGCAGTCCTTATTTCTGTCGGGCGATTTGTTCAGATTCACGTACCACTCCTGCAGCACCAACAGATAGGCATGTTAATATTATTATTTAATATACCATTATAATTGACCTTTGCACGTCATCGTATATTTTTACAATCGTTCATAAATTAATGATTACGAACAATTAAAAATTCTACATTTTAACAATTCCTTGCTATCGGATAATGTATAAAAACGGTCAACAATCTTTTGATAAATTATATTAAAAATGTGTAAACTAAATTTAAAAAAGACAATAAGCTTTTATTACATTCGTTACATCCAAAAGCCTATTACTGTTTATCCACAGCGATATTCTGAACCTTGCTCGGAATCTTATAATGTAACCATTTGTGACTTTATGCGCTATTGCAGATTCGCCAGATTCATGATAGATCGTTGACGTGAGGGGTGTAGTTTGTTTCTATATTACTCTACTAGCTGATCCCGTGCACTTCGTCGCCCGTTAAATGGATCAACTCAATACTACCTACTCAAACTTTGTTCAATTCATTAACGTGTATGGTGTTCAAAATTTATCTTATCTTTCCCGTTGCCCTGAATAAAAATTCTGAATCGCAGCAGTACATTATCAGGTAGGCAATCTACCTGCGGTAGATCGCGGACCCCGTGCTGTTTGTACGGAAGTGTATGATTTAACTCTAAAGTATCAAAGTTATACCAAGTTTATTTTGATGTAATACTGTGGATTAATATAATAAATTTAGTTGCTCGTAAAAAATCGCAACTCTTAAAAAAATTATGATTGTTGAACTCCTTTTGGGTGTAATTTTCTGCGGTAAGTGCAACTCTGCCACCCTGGTAAGCATTGTTCAATAATTTGATGCAAGCTTGTACCTGATCTGCCCGAATAACCAATGGCAACCAATAAATAAATGCTAATTTCTAATGTAGACTGTAACCAATGGCAACTATAAATAAATAAAAATAAAATTTCCAATTTCTATCGTG